CAAGATAAAACGAGGATAGAATTAACTAATACAAGAGTTTTTCTTTTAGAATCTCAAGAGAATTAGAAAAAGTTTTCATTATTGATATGAAAAACTTTTGCATCGAATTCTCATGAGATTTAACTATAAAATAGAATAGCAGAGACTTTAACAATATGTTCAATTATGATCGGAACATATATAGTTAGAAAAATAAATCTTTTTTATATCTTATATTTACTTGATATTGGTTCAAATCTTAACCCATTAAGTAAAAATCCTTGTCTTGGTCTTGGTGGTCTTTCATGTAAAATTTCTGTTAATTGATCTCTAGCTTGTTTTTCATATGAAACAACATGTACATCATGTGCATGATTAACTAATGTTTGAATTAATTTATCAAGTTCATTAACTTTATCTTCTTGTTTTTGTAATTGATCAAATATAATAAATAATCGTTGATCGCGATCAAGAATTTTACTAATAAAATCAATTGTTTCATTTAATTCTTTATGAATAGATTTTAATTTATTTACATAAAGACGCTCTAATTGAAAGCGATTATCTTGTGCTATTTGCGATAAAAGTTTTATTGTATGATATTGTTGTCGATGATGTGATATATTTTCATCTATAAGACATTCCGAACAAAGACATTCACAACATTTAGTGCAATAGAATTCTAATGGACGTTTATTATGTCGTTGTGAACATGTAAATGATATTGTTTCATCTAATTGAATTGGAACATTAGGTAAAAGACGAATTTCATCAAATGTACGAGATAGATGTAATGATACTGGATAAAAATGTGCATGATATCCATAACATGTTTGACAATAATTTTCTTGACATTGAAAACATCGACCATGAAGATTGACGGAATCCATTTTACACAAAGAACATTGACCTAAAATTTATTTAATTAGACAAAAAGAAAAAGAAATTCATTTTCTTTTCATATTTACCAATATGTTTATTTTCAATATCTTGTTTATGTCTATAAATTTTTATAAGCTGTTCTTTATCAATTGCTGGCGGAAGACAGCTAGCATCACCATTAGGTAAATGAATTGATGGTGCTCGACATTGTGGACCTAATATAATAACGAATTGTTTTTTTCCTAGTTATTCAATGAAATATACAAAACTTACAAGTTGCAATATCCATATCATTTTTACATGAATGATGATATTCTTCTAAACATCGACGACATGCTACATGTAAACATGATGTTCGTTTTGGTTCTTCAAATATATCCAAACAAATCGCGCAAGTTATTTCGTCTAATAGTGATGATGATAAAATTTTATTTTCATTATTGGAATCATTATCAAGAGGAATATTATCAAATTCCATCATTGTAAAATTCGGAATTATTAAGGTGACTTATAAAAAAACAAAATTTTTTTCCGATGATGTATCGATCAAGCAAGCAAAACAATTCTATAGCAGAAAGCCTGACCAATAATAAATAAGGCGTTATTCGTAGACGGCGCTATCGTCAAATAAGAAAAGATGAGTTAATTATATTCACATGATAGATTGAGTAAACCGAAAAAATTTAAGGTATTTTCGGAAGCGTTTATCTTTATATGTACAGCCCTGGACAAAAGTAGTTGCTCCCTCATGAAAGAATACTATTCTTCATGACATTGAACTGATATTTTGGCTACATATGTGCAACAATAAAGCCTGATCGTAAGCACCAACGTTTGTGTTGATCCTTTCACATGCACTGGAGTTATGATTCAAACCATACTTGGAGCTGGTACTGACCGGTCGATTTTCATAGGTGTTTTTATTAATTTTTAGAGTACTAAAGCTGACCTACTTACTTGTGCTCAACGATTTACATTGTTTTAATAACCATGAGTTATGAGCCTGAAATCTTTCAATTGACAAATTTCAAGTCGTCGTCAAAATCCCAGCTCTAAATATTGAGTTAACACATTCTTATCATAGGATGAGAGCCTTGAAATATGCCGAATGAATTTATTACGCTCACGAAAAGTTAGTCAGATACTTGAAGTTAATTTTGGTATAGACTAAAGATGTTTCAACTCAAAATTTTGAGCTCACTTTGCTGAAATACTTTCAACCGACTCTCATTTATTAAACAATAGAAAGGACTCCATTCTGTACTGTGAAAATATTTAGACATTAAGAAATCTTAAAATAGAATGTCTAACATACAGATCACACGTTTCAGTTCACCTTATCTTTTTGTCAGTAGTATTATCCTTGTACGAATTCGGATACTTTGCACCTGTATTAAATAATTATTTTGAATAGGAATAGATTAAACTTAACAATACTTAATGAAACGTGACAGACTAAAGTAAAGATTGTTACTATTAGAAAATTTAAGAGCTATATGAGTTTTACATTGTATATCTTCGTAGAACTGAAGTAATGAATTGTTTCTTGGAAGAATGGATTGCGTATTGATATATTAACCATACTGGATTTTGACCGGCTAACTCAAGGATTTTAACTATCTGGTTCGATCTTATCGAAAAAAAAACAACTAGCTCGAAGTATGATTCAAACGTTATCTTCCTTTTGTGAAAAATATGTTTAAGGGAAATATGAACTCAAAAAGTTTCTGTTTATCATTTTGCTTTTTCAAAATCTACTACTGTTTTCTTCTAGTGCTAAAGGAAGTTCCATATGACTACTTTATTATCATCAAAGCCTGTCACATATACTCAAGAGCTTAGTAATTAGTACGCCCTGAGAAAGTGAGCTCTTGTCATAGCACTAACTCAACTTGATTCAGTGTTGCGGTCCTAAAGCTTTGAGAAGAGGCTCATCATCTCATGAGAATTTTCTAACAAAAATTCTCAGATGAATTGTTAAGATCTATAGCGGAAAAAATCCATCTTACTAAAAACCAGTATATGCTTTTCAACAAACATTCTTAACGAGAAGACAAAGTTTCAGTTACTTTAATGTGGTTTCTATCAAAATTTGAACTAGATTTAGCTACTACATTTACCAATCGAATGAGGGGTTAGACAAAAATATATTTTTCAACATGGTTCAGACAGGGTGATCACATGAAGAAGATGATATGTGAATCATAGATCTAGTACATGTGAACCTATGTAGGATAAGTTAGTGCGTGCGATTAGAAATTATTGTTATATGAATGAATCCAAAATATTAGCTCAATATCCTAAAACATATAGTAGGATTCCATGAAGAACGGCTAATTATGTTCAGAACTGTAAATATAGAAGACAGTTTTTCTTTTTGTTGACTTTCTTATCCATAAAGAAATCGCAAAAGTGAATGCAACTATTGATAGGTAAATAAAGACTTCACTCTTATGTGAAGTTTGACTTCAATAAGATAATTTTGAAATTCAAATGTTCCAAAGAGTTATTCTGAAGAACTATACCATAAATTAGACAAAGTGCAACATGGATAAATACGGATGTGTTGTGTTGGTATAAATACTGGCAGTAAGTTATCGATACAGTGTTCACTGGGACACTGATTACACTGGCATAGCTGTTCACTGAAGCATTCACTACATTGATATCTGCGTTCTCTGTACAATTGGATATCAACTCTATAAAAATATGTCCTTGTCGTAGCCGAATGTTTCAATGCTTTAGTGAACATTAGTATCCATGTAGTCATTTTGTGCGCAAACTACATTGAATCAATAGTGAATAGATTGAAATTGCACATCTGTAACCACAAAAACTCAACGAAGGAAATAAATTTTACTATTTATTTAACAGATTCTTCTTCCAAATTGAAAAATGATTGTTTGGAATAAGTTGTTGAAAAGCATAAACTTTCCTTCGTACTAACGATTGAGACTATTTTACAAAATTTTACTTACGACTGGCCTGAAAATATATATTAGACGATTAAAGAATGTCTATTTGAGTGAAAATAAAACCTAAACCAGTTACAAACAAAGTAAAAGAAAAGTTTTATTTATCAAATAATTACGCCAAATTCTGGTATATAATAGACAGTGACACTAAAATTTCAATCAATACATAGAGCGTTGAAAAAATTTTCTGAATTAATTTCATGTAAAAACAACAAGAGAATTTGCTGTATAAATATGATTTCCTGCGTGTAGTTCATACAATGCTCTATCTATAGATATCATGCGCTCTGCTAAATTGAACATGTTTACGAACATGTAGAAATGCATTTTAGATAACCTTAAATACACTAATAAAAAAATTAAAAACTTAACCTCAGACTTATGTTTTCAAATGTTAGTTGTTATCCAATATATATGAATAATAAACACCATGACAGCGTACAATGATAATGCTTTGTGATATTACATGGGTTTGTCGTTTTAAAAACATATAACTAAGTTTTGGTGATAGTTCTAAATAAGATCCGTAGGTCAGTGACATCAAGTTAAAGAATGTCGCATTTCCTTAGTTTGATTCTAGTTATATGTAATTGTTCGTGTAAAATACTATCAACAGTACATGGAAATGCAATAAGAGCCTACTATTATTAATACAACTGTTATTGGACTGTTTTCTATAATCGAAGTTTAAAAGTTGTAATAGTTATTCATTAATATCCAAATTATTGCGAATGTGAAATAATCTATCTTTAACACAAGGATCGTATTCACAAGCTGTACTAAGTAATGGAAAATCTTTCATCATACTTTTAAAACATTATAAAAACATAACCCATCAGCACCCAAAAAAATTTATCATAGAACAATGCTTAAATATTTGTTTTTAATGTTCTGTTTTTTTCTTTAGAGTCTTCGAAAATGTATTTCTATACTTTTATATATATATTCTTGATTCATCAGAGTCTATTATATATATAGACAGATAATTGTACGAACTACACACAGGCAATAATACTTAACACGATAGTACTTATTGTTGTTTTAAGAATGAAATCAGTCTAAAAACGTTTTGAACATTACACGTAAATCTTTAGTGAAAAATTATCCACACTCAGAAGGGTTAAATCATCAAGAAAGTACGACTTTTGCATTATATTTCTCATTCTAAATAATTGTTTCATTAATAGCCATTTTTTGTAATAGTAATATAACGGCTTCACTGATATTGAGAAAACCTATATCATTTGTTTGTCGTCCTTTATCAAAACAAATGTCAAGAATATTTTGGAAATAATCATGCATCACACGATCTTCTTCTTCAGTCCAATCCATCGAAATGAGTAAACCAGCATATTCATCGTACTCATCTATTTTATGAGATCGTAAAATGAGTTCCCATTCATCAGTTGGTGTAGATTGTTCTGATTTGAGTACAAACGATGATGTATTTCGTACAAAACGGCTAACTATCCAAGACCAATGTGGATATTTTTTTGATCCAATACATTGTTGAAGTATTTCAATGAATGCACAAACTGTCAAATCGACATCAGCTTCACCAACGAAACATTTTCCCGATGTTTGAAATCGTAAGATCCAGCCATCTAATCGAAGTCGATGTTGAACGGAAACTAATTTATCAAGAGCTTTTTTCATTGCTTTACTTAGTAAACCTTCTGATGATGGTGATTTCTTATCGATTCGATGTTGTAAAAGAGGTGCAGCAAATAACCATGGTAAACTTAAGATTGGTGCTTGTTCTGATGCATATTCTCCAGCATAACAGACATCATAACAAGCAACAACCACAGATTGCTGTCGTTTTCTACATATATCACATAACTTCGAAACTGGTGTATCATCATGACATTTGCCTTTTTCACAATAAATAATTTGATAATTAAAGAAACGAGTTCTTGTACGATTTACGAGTTGTTCAAGTTCTGTATAGGCAGTATCTTCAAGCTCACCAGTAAGACCATTAATGACATTTCGACACCATAAATCACTTTCATGTGATAAACCATAAAGATTAAGAATTTCAAAAATTTCTTGTCGATAAACTGAAGCTAATGTTTTAGCAAAATGGGCACACTCACGATATCCAGAGTGTTGACGATCGACAACGTCCAAAAGAGATTGATCAAGTTCAATCTTTGCTTCTTCATCATTATTTCTAACTTCTTCATCGTCATCTTCTTCAAGATCATCTCGTGTTCGAACTTGTAAATGTCTTAAATGACGATGATATCGAAGAAGTCGATTCCATCCAGGTAAGGTTTTCTTGGAAGCACGATATAGTTTTCCTACATAAATCAAAAATAAAAAAAAACAAATGATGAATAGAAATATGATTCATTTTCATACCAAGAATATATGGTGATTCATATTGTTCTAAAGAAGGATTATCCATAAAATCAGGTCGTTTATTTTCTAATACATTATTCAATCTAGAAATTTTATCTTCACTCAATGGATGATAACCAGTTTTACCACTATCAACTTCTTGACTAATTGCACCAGCTAATTCAATTGTTGATAAAATATCTTCTGCTCGTCTTTTAGCATCATCAACACCAAATTTATCAGCAAAAGCTAAATGTAAATTAGACAATCGTCCTAAACAATCTTGTTCAGCTATTCTAAGTATGGTATTATTAATGGCATCTCTTGTAACAGATCGAGGAAAGTTGTCAGCAGGTATTTGTGAATCAAAATCATAAGGAGATGAATTATTCGTTTTGTTTGGAACAAGATCTTCATGCCAAACAACTAAATATTCATCACCATCTAAATCTGATCCACTAATATCATGTGGAGCTGGACGATCACCTTGTTGTGAAAAAACAACAACATCTTTTAAATGTTCTAATTTTGGATGATTAATAGCAATAAATGTTCGAATATCACCTGGATGATGACAAGGATTTTTTGTAATAACAACTTTACATTGATCAAGAATTTCAGTTTTACTTTTATTATTATTTCGATCTCTACCTAATATTGTATATTGAATAAATACTTGATCTGGTTTAAGAACATTATATTCATCGACAATACCAAACATATTTCGACCTTTATTTGATGAAATTTGAATACGCGTTCGTTGAAGTAAATCTCTTGTTGATTGTAAACATGAATTAATAAGTAATTGGCGAAAAAATGGTTCATGAATAAAATCAATATTTGCATCATGTATATCTTTAGGTAAAAACCATGATGGTACTTTTTCAAGAATTAATTTTTCTGCATTAGAATTTCGTAAGAGAGAACGAATAAGTGTAAGATGATTTTGTTGTTGAAGTATAAGAAATGATGAATCTGATATTTGTCGATATGATAAAAGAAGAATAGCTTGTCGATTAAGATATATTGGTCGAGGTGCTGAGAGTTTACAGACTTCAAAACAATCATGATTACTATGGAATTTTTTCATGCTATCACGAATAAATAAATGAATATGTTTTGGCATATCTGGATCAATACTAGCAACACCTTTAACACCATCATAGCGGAATTGGACAGTAGTGAAGTCATCCGGAATATCAAGAAATTGTTGTATCTGCAAATTATAGAAAAAAAAGCTGGTTAGCGCAGCGGCTTTGGGGATGACATGTGCAACTCTTACATATTCTGCAGCTTCAGTGTACTGATAGAAAATACATGAAATGAAAAACTTCTCGCAAGCTATGATTGCTTTTCAAGATAATCGATCACTAGGGAAGCCATGTATTTTATTTATTTCTACATTTCGGATAGAAAACTTTTCTAATTTTTACTGTAACTCTATTTTTTATTTGCCTTGTTGTCATTCGCTCGTGATTTCTCTTTGCCATATTAGGTTTTTCTTAACTTAACTGTATTATTATTCTAGCCATTGATTGAACTGGGAGGCAAGTCTTTTGTATATATCCAGCACATCTAAAGTACGTCTCAACTCATCATTATATATCTCGATAAACTCACAAACGTTGCTATTGATGATTTCCTTATGTTGGAACCCGATTAGTTCACGCCTTGTTATGTTGACTATATGACGACCGTGGCAAATCAATGTCTCATTATCCATCATTCTTCACATTTTGAATATAAATTTTTATCTCCGTAAAATTAAATACTGCAGTATGTAGAATATTTGTAAACCGATTTCAGTCATTTAAATTTTGAGGAAGACTTTGGAAACTCTAGAATAGTCGAAAGCTTGTTGTTAGTACGGTTTAGTGCCTTTTTCGTTGCGAAGGAGTTCATTAAAAAAGTCTGATGCCTGTTTGCTCGATGGCTAAGGGCTGTAATCAAGAGATGGAGGTGAAAGCCGAAAAACTTCAAGGGTGTAAGCATAGATTTAGAGAAGACCCACACCAACACCCTTTGTATACTTCTACTCGTCGTTAATACTATCATGGACATTCAGTGAGACTGACAATAAGTTCAAATCGATTCGTGAATTTCCCATCGTATTTTGAATCCTGCACTGACTTATAACTATTTCAGCTGCTTTTTAGTTTATAATAACCTGCAACTCTTGAAAAATGATTTTTGACTTTTTAATGGAGCACAAATCGTTGGAGTGCAGCTTTTTGGGAAGTAAGTGTCGCGGGAGATGTTTCTTCAAGATATATAAAGAAACGATATGTTACATATTGCTGTTTTTTCATTATTAATTTCCGATCATGAGCATATATAAGTTCTCTGACGAGAAATCTTTATGAGACAATAGAAAATCTAATGAGAACAATTTACTACATCGTATACTGTCTTCTATAAAAAGATATGTAAACTGTTCATATTTATGCCATAAACGCATAACCATCAACAGTGAATACGTAGATTATTCTAAGAATACTGTACTAAAATGCTTGATCATTACTTGGTAGATGATCGCGTCAGACCTGACCATACATATAGATCGTGGTAACTCGTATTAATCCGATTTTCAACGTAATCGATAAAAATGCACTTTTTTTCTGAGCTATTTTTGCTTTTTTTGTTATATTTTTACATAAGATATAAGCACTGAATATAGAAGGACATACGGTCTCTACAGTTGATCTATCAAGAAAAGCGTTTTTTAATATTCACTCCGCACTAGGAATGCCTGATTACAATTTCTGCAGGCAATCAATTTGATATCAGAAATATTCTCATGAAAAACATTGCACTGCTTTCTTTACTTTTTAACAAAAAGCTAAGTCAAACCTTTAAAAAAGTATAAAAGCAGTAGTTCGATAAACAGAAAAATAAAATGTTCGAGATCCATTAAGCATAAGATACCTTCATTTCAATGGCTTACGTGTTTTATTTACAATTATTTCTTTAAATATAGAGTAAGCAATTCCAAAGAGGAATTGGTATTGTCAAATTTCGATACCAATCAAACTCGAAAGATAATCTTCCATATTTTATACAATACNGTCAAACCTTTAAAAAAGTATAAAAACAGTAGTTCGATAAACAGAAAAAGAAAATATTCGAGATCCATTAAGCATAAGATACCTTCAATTCAATGGCTCACGTGTTTTATTTACAATTATTTCTTTAAATATAGAGTAAGCAATTCCAAAGAGGAATTGGTATTGTCAAATTTCGATACCAATCAAACTCGAAAGATAATCTTCCATATTTTATACAATACAATAAGAAGTGAGTGCAACGGAAATAGGAAGAAATGCACGTAAGTATAGCTAAAATTAATGCAGCGACTATATGAACTTTTTTTTTTTATTGGTTTCTTTTACAGTTCAAACATGACTGTACATCACTAATTGATCTTAACCATAAAAATCTATTTACAAATTTTATAAACAGTGTCCTGAACAATCATCATTTAGCGCTACAAAATATTACTCCATAGAAACATCTTGTAAAATGTTACTATCGGTAATTTATAAATAATCATCCAATTAAAGGTTCTAGTTATTTCTTTTGAGTATGAGAGTAGATTAAAAGCTTTAATTAGATTCTATCTTAGATATTTCATAATTAATAATACTCACTTTATTTCTCAGTTCAATTGACATTGTACCACAACCATCTGTAAATGATAAAGTTTTACCATTGACCTTGATCTCAATGTCATCTCCTAGTTCAACATGATTTTTTGACACCTATGAAAGAAAATATACATGTTATAACAAAACATTATAAATGATACAACTTATTATATTACTTACTTGAACAGTTGCTGTTGTAGATGTAAAACAAAGTGCCATACGAGCAGCATATTTAGCTGGATTTTTCTCTTTGTCAAAATCGCCCATCCATTTATAAGCTTCAGAAAAACTTAGATTTCTTTTTCTAGGATCTTCATCATAATCATTATGATGATAAAACCAAAATTGTCTTCCACGTAATTGTGATTGAGAATGATGTAAATATTTATATTTTCGATTATCACTCATTAGTATAAAACCATTTTCTAAATAACCAAGTAACAATACATGTAAATCACGAAAATGATATGATTGTAAATTTCGACCATTTTCATCTCGAATATCAACAAGAACAAAATGATAAAGTGCTCGACCAAATTCTTGAGTAGCTCGAAGAACTCGATTTGTTCGACATAATTTTAATGGTTTTATTCGAATTGTTGTTGGTGTCAATGATACTGATGGTATATATGCTTCATTTTTTTCTTCAATATCTATTTTACTAATTAAACCATAAGCAGAATCAGCTCGTTTTCGTTGTGATTCAATTATTGCATGTTGTAATTCTATATTTATATTAACGAATGGTTTCAATGAAAATATTCTTGAAAGATAAACACATACACGATAAAATAATTCATCAGGATTATTTTTTTCTTTACTTAATTTATGTAATTTTTCGATAAAATTTTCTTTCTCTATTTGAATTTGTAAACGATATCCAACACTTGAAAGCATTTGCCATGAATATTTCATTATCAATGATGAAAAATTAGGTATTTGTTCTTGAAAAAATAAATATGGTTTTGGTCCAATATTTGAATCGATATTTCCATAACAAACAGTTATTCGATGTGAAAGGAAAAATTCAATGAGTATTGCAAGTGTTTGTTTTATTCGATTTTTAACATATTGTATTTTATTATTTGTTAAGCGAAATGGATCACTATGTATACTAAATTGAATTGTAGGAAAATAACAACCACCATTGATACCAACTCGTTTATAGTGTTCATATTGAAATCGTCGTTGTTGTCGAGATTTATGTTGTGGCGAATGTAATGGTACAGCACCACGTGATGTTGAAGGTGATCGATGACGGAATGGTACAGCATTACGTGGTTTTGAATTGGAGTGAGGACGAGATGCTAGTTGTTCAAAGTTTTTTGAAAAATCTTTGTTTCCATTTGATGTATTTTGATCATTATTATTTATTGTAGCTTCAGCTTCAAATTCATTCATGTTGCATTTTTGACAAATATATATATCAAAACCTTCTTCACGTGGAACAACAATAATCGAATGATGAATATTAGAAATTAATAACTGTTTTTTTTGTCTTTTTTTTAAATCTTCTATCATCCATTCAATAGAACCACTACCATTATATTGATCATTTAAAAAAATAGACCATTTTGAACGTGCATTGTTATCCCATGAATGATCTTTTGAATAAAAAAATTGATTTAAGTCAATAAGTGCACCATAACGAAGTGAAACAGCAAAATCTGATTGTAGATTATGGCGGTTTGATTTTTTACACATATCCTTATTTAACTTATACTGTTGTTTTTCGTTTTTTAACGTCATCCAAAAAGGCATAGATGAAGAGAAAGAAAGTCTCCCAATGTCNCATTTTGAACGTGCATTGTTATCCCATGAATGATCTTTTGAATAAAAAAATTGATTTAAGTCAATAAGTGCACCATAACGAAGTGAAACAGCAAAATCTGATTGTAGATTATGGCGGTTTGATTTTTTACACATATCCTTATTTAACTTATACTGTTGTTTTTCGTTTTTTAACGTCATCCAAAAAGGCATAGATGAAGAGAAAGAAAGTCTCCCAATGTCAATGCTTTGCGATTGAGTAAAATGAACACGTAATGATGTTAACCCAAAATACCATGGACGTAATTGTTCTTCTTCGTTTGTCCATCGGAAACCTTGTTGTGAAAAATCGTTTTTTATAATTTGCTTAATGTCGTTCGTATTTTGTTCATCATTTATGATAATTATTAAAAAATCTTGCTTTGTTGGTGTTTCCCATGGTTGAAATTTTTTATTTATGTTAAGATTAGGTGGACTTATCTGAGTAGGTAATGGTGTGTCAGATTCATTTTCATTCTCATTATTATCATCAATTGTTGAATTGTCTTCAAGTGAATCATTGCTTTCATTGTTAGTAAATGGAGCATCTTGCTTTTTCAATGGAATTCGTTCATAAGCTTTTACCCACAACGATGACGTCTTTTAACGAAAACAATAAATAATATATGGGAGTGGTCAGTCAAGAATACTTTAATTTTATTTTGTTTCTAAAATCTCGATAGTATATTGGAGTAGTATGATTTTTGTTTCTTCCCGGATGTAGTTCATATGTAGTGCTAGTAAATACCTATCTTTCGTGCTCTATATTATGATAGAGGCGATGCGTCTTGAATATTTCCTTGACATCATATAGTTTAAGATATTTCGTTACTATTTTGTTTCCATGATTCAATTCTTAAATGGAGAATTTACATGAGTTCTTCGTATTCTTTAAGATTTACAAGATAGATATTCGAGGCTACATTGATTTCGGGATCAACGTTAAATTGACAATTTTATAAAACTTGTTTAAAACAAATATTGGATTGAAAAGAGTAGGAAACTGACAGAAGGTCAAAAGTTATTTGAAAATCTACAGAGGACCTCTCGACGACTATGAAAAGATAACGAAAATTGCACATGTTGTTTGCCCATTGTCTAATCTTAACTTGAGGAAATCCCCTGTTTGTAAAAACACCAGATGATACATATGCCCAGTTTCTTAAACTAAGGTCTTGTTGATAAAGCTCTTTTGCTAACACTTAGTTTTATTTCAAATGCTTTAAGTCAAAATTGAATTACGGGAACAAAGTCGAAATAGAATGTTTTGAACCACCTCCCCCCCCCCCTCTCTAGACAGTCTGGTACAATAAATTTTGAAATACTGTCTTCAGCAAAAAGCGCACTAACGTTATGGTAAATGTATTAAAACGCGTATATCATCGTATGTATCTAAGAGTGTCACGAAGGGGCGAAACTTCGGGGGCGGAGGGGCGCCCGACGATTTTTTCGAAAATTTTTCAAAAATTCTTAAAATTTTTGTAAGTTATCGAGCAAAAGAACCGAAATTTTCGAAGTTTGAGGTGATCCCCGACTTTCATTCGGAATACCCCTGTATACATCACGAATTAGAAGACAGAAAAGAAAAAAGTTTGCCTAAAAGCAGAGGTATTGACGTGTCAAGCTGACGTACGAAGTTAATCAGTCCAACAAAGAAAAATATTGAGAGAACGAAAGCATTATATTGACAAGCACTGGAGAATTTAATTTAAAACAGTCAACATTATCAACAAAACTATGCACGTTCTTGATTTCTCTATATGTACACATTTTGAACTCAATGGACTTTAATTCCGGGTGAGTTTCTATGCTGAGAGGAGACGGGGGTGAGAGTTAATATGATATCGAGGAAATAATTGAGATCAGTAACTTCTATCACGATATAGGACTGAAAAAGTAGGTGTTCACTAGCACTATATATGAACTAATCTGATAAAAAAAATTTGTTAGCGCAGCCCCTTTAGGGCTGAAATGTAGAACTCACATATACACTCTAGCCTCTTTAAAATAATACAAAATACGTAAGGTGATAAATCTCTCGTAGACTATAGCTGTTTTGCAGGATGATCGATGTCTAGAATAATGACCTCTCTAATTTCTACATTTCGAACAGAATTTTTGTATTTTTCTCTACCGAGCGCCCTATTTTTTGTTTGCATTGTTGCTATTCGCTCATTATTTTTCATTGTTTTAAATTTGTTTTTCTTAATTTAACATTCTTATTATTCTAATCATTGAACTAATTGACAAATAAGTCTGTTTTACATATTCATGATATCTACATCATACCTTATGCAATAACATATATATATTAATCAAGTCACAAATAATGATATTCATTATTTTTCAAAATTATAACTTGATCACTTTTCAAAAAAAAAAAACACTCGAAAATCTGGCACCTTTTATTATTGATTGCTGAAGTCTGTAATGGGAGAGGGGGGGGGGGGAGTGTCTGTAATCGAGAGGAGGGGGGGGGGCGGGTCGAGCCGCGAAAACTTGACCTTAAAATTTACACTCACTATTTTCTTCGAAAATATATGTGAGTTACACAAAATCACACTACGACGAATATACTATTGAAGTTTTAGAAAGAAAACAAGTTAAGGTATCCATCACGGACCACTCCCATGTGTATTTATTTTTTACATTCATTAGAAATACTCTTATTAATTATTTCTTACAGATTCTGTAGAATCATGTCGAGATTGTGTTGGTTGCATTTGTCTATTTGATGCCATTGTAAACTCGAAGCACATGCAATTATTTTAGCCAAACATAATCTGTCTTCAAAGAAAAAAAGAAACCACTTTTTTTCTCGTTCTTTTTTTCTAATAAGCAAAATGGAAACGCAACATAGTTATTAAATTTTTTTGATGGGGTGATTGTGGTTTAGATTTTTTTCTTTATGTAGTCTTCCGGCATAACTGAGAGTTCTGTAAGCGTCTAGATAGAATTTGCGTGTAAATACGACTGTCATTTTGACAAAATTTCTTTCCAGTGCTTGGTACGTCGATAAAATAATAAAAAAATTATTATTTATAGTATATAATATATAATGACACATAGTAAAAGAACAGAAAGAGAAATGAAGCCTCGCTTTGTCCAATAGCGAACTATCTCAATTTAACCAGTTAACATTGAAAGCAACGATGAGTGAAGTCTTGGACTGTTAAGAGAAAAGAAGTAACATCATTGTTTTTGTTCTGTCTAACTTGGCATCAAACAAGATGTATGAAATAAAGAGAAGATTATTTTTTTGAAGAGCATTCTTAATACATAATTCAATATTGAGTATTACTCAAGTCCAAGTTGGTATATAAATAGAACTAATTCTATGGGAGGACGATACTTAGCACGTCGTCTTCTTTTATATTGATTAGACCATGACAGAAAAGAATGTATATGGAATTGTAGATTAACAATCTTTATAAAACTTAATAGAAAGCGATTCATCCAAGGTTAAGATAATTCTTAGAACGAAAGCAATTCTTTCAAAAAAAATTTATTTCTGAAAACTCTTATTTTTTTTATTAATAACTAAAGAAAAAATGTAAAACACCGAATAAGAATATTCTTGCTATATTTATATTTGGTATTATTCGATTTGAGCCGTCATAATTACATAAATCTCGATCTCCACAACATGACACACAACCCCAACTTCGACCTTCATCATTTGGTTGACAAGGTGTTAAAGAATGTGTATAATTTTGTTGACGTTCACATGCATTACGTTTTGTACAATATTTTGTAATGATTATTTCATCAAAATTATCTAAAATGTTTTATTACAATAAATCAAAAAAAGAGAAACTAAATATCTAAAATTCTACCTGGTTTAAGTACAATTGTTAAACATGTATCATATGTCGGTTGACAATCAGTGAAATAACTTGAATTATTTGAATTACATTCAACATTTGAATATTTCATTGAACATTGATAACATGAAATTGCTTCAATTTCTAAAAAAAATGAATTTAATTATCATAATATTTTCATATTTAATTTACCCCAATTCTTAATGAATAATACAAAGAAAAAAATTAAAGACCACATTCATTATCGTCGTATGGATAGATGATTTAACATAACAGATTGCTTATGAAATAATGTTATATGCTTTCACAAAGAATAGTAGTTGTTCATGCTTCTTCACTTTATCTTTCTAACATGCAAAAGCAATATTAACACTTGAATCTAAACATTCGCCACAATCGTCCTAATTTAATCTCTTAAGGAAAACGAAAAAAAACATCTATCCTTGCTTTTTTTAAGTAAATGTCGTGATCTCCTTCATGATAATAAAAGCAAAAGAAAACCGGAAGTTAATTCATTTTACACACAAGTCAAATTGGTTGCTTGTAAAGACACATTCTGTTTCTTTCATTTTTTTTCTTTTGGTATCGTTCAGTCGATAAAAAAATGAAAGAAATCGATTTCATCCTTGTGACATAAATAGAGAAAAAAAGCAAAGAATTGATTGATTATGATGTGAGCTTTTAGTCGTTGATGCTAATAGAATTAATCGTTCGTGATCAAGACTTATGACTATATAACCATTATAAATACAAGTTTGTTTGTTTTGTCAAAGAATGTTTATTGAATAAGAAGAAGAAAACAATTAAAACATCTACAGATAGTCGTCTAAAAGTATGAGATAAAAGAGCAACAGAGAGAGAACGAGAATATAGCACCGAGAAACAAAAAAAATCGAGAGAAATGTGTAAAGGGCCAATTATAAAAAAAAGACAAAGTCTTCCATTTGATATTTTCATTTAACATTGCACAAGACTTGGATAATCACATTGATCATTCAATGCATTAAACCAAAGACCAGGCGGACAGCTACGACTATAAAGAACTCCATTGGGTAAGCCCAAATCATCTAAATAAATATTTCATATAGAAAATATTGAATTTTTTATTTTTTTTTTAACTTACATTGTCCAAAATATACACATTCGAAATATCGACCTTGTTTACAACTTGATACATCAGAAAAACGACCATTTGCTTGGCAACGAAAATATTCTTAGAAAAAAATAAACAAAATTTTATCCCAAAAACAAAAATATTTATGTATTTAATTTACCAGATTCACATCGTTGACCAGTAAAACCTGGTTTACAAATACAAATAGGAGTACCTCCTTGTTCTTGACATGTTCCACTATTTTGACATAAGGATTGACTACATAGATTTTGACCACGACTTATACCCGACGCTAAAGAAACAACATTTCTTCTAATTATTCAAAAGAAAAAACAAACATCTTACAAATTGATATTTCACACATTGGTCCAGTAAATCCATTGAGACATTGACAAAGTTTTGCACCATTTGAACTTGTATAGCATAAACCACCATTTCGACAATGACAAGATTGTAATGATTTATCTCCTTGGCTACTTGAGATTTTATCTAGGTCAAAAAAATAGTAAATAAATAAATAAATAAAATTTATTTCTTTTTTCAATCACTTACGATTACTACTACTCATTAAAACTGAAGAACCTGTAACACTTGGTGGTACACCAGTTGTATTACATTGTGGTCGAAAAACTCGATCAGGACAAAAACATGCATATGCATTAATAAGATCATAACATGTACCACCTCCCACACTAAATTTCAAAAATAATAAAATGAAAAATAATAAAGACTATGTTTCATTTACCAAGGATTTGAAGCACATTCATTTATATCTAGGAAAATAAAAAAATGAAAAATTCTGAATGAAATCATCAACTTTTATTTTTGATACTCAACTATTTTCACAATAAACTCCTGTATAACCTTCTCGACATCGACATGCATAAGTTGTTCCACTAACTAATACACATTGACCACCATTACATGCATTTCTTGATAATGGACTACATGTCGAAATCGATGGAACAATATTACCATTTGTTTCTGAACCATATTTTGCATTATGACCAAACATTAATGAAACAATTGGAGTTGTTGTCTGTGGTGGTATCGTTGGTAATGCATAGAAACTTCGAGTTGAATCTAAGTTTGTTTTTTGTTTTTTTTATTCAAACAATTAAAAGAATTTCAATAATAATAAAAATAAAACCTACTAGTTGAATTGCATGATAAACTGAGTGTACCATCTGGACAAATACAAACATAAGAAGGTCCATTTTGATTTAATTGATAACAAATACCAATTGTACAAGGATTTGATAAACAACCTGATTTTGTGATTCGAGCTAGTTCAAGAAAATATATTTCTTTATTACTTGAAAAATTAAATGAAATATTTTTTTAATTACCTTCACAATTTTCACCGGTAAATCCTTCATAACATTGACATCGATATCCAGTTTTACCTGATAGACAACGTCCATTTGTTTTACATGGATTTGACGAACAAAAGTCAATTTCTAAAAGAAAATAAAATAAAGGTTTTCATTGATTTTTCTAATTTATTTCATTAAAAAACAAACCTCGTTCACATCGTAGACCTGTATAATTAGGAGGACCTATGAAAACAAAATATACATATTTATTTGTTTTCTATGGAAAAACAATTTTATTTTATTATCTACATTGACAACAAGTAGAACCAATTTGTCCAATAGTACATGATGGTTCATTAACTGTATATGGTACACAGGTTCCTCCATTTTTGCAACTTAAATGCGTACAAATTGAATTCGTTGCTATTTATAAATAAAAGTAAAAAATATCTTTAAGGATTTATTCATAACATGTCTTTTACTTGGACACGTATCAATAGTTGTGAAAGTAATACCATCGCTTTGACACATGCACATATAACCTTTTGGAGCTGCCGTTAGAGTTAAACATCGTCCTTGTGGTCCGCAAGGTAATGTTGCACAAGGATCTAAGATTTCAAGCAAGATAAATTTTTATTGATAATGAAAAGTAATATTTACTTTTTGGTGTTGAACAATTGGTCATTTGAATGGTACCATCATGACATCGACAAATGTATCCATTGAGTAAATTTGCAGTAGTTTCACAATCCCCAGGACCACATGGATTTGGTAGACATGGATCTATTAAAATAGAATGCGTCAAAAAAAATTATAAAATCGAGTGTGACATTTCAAAAATATAGATATTAAAGCTGGTGGAACACTTTTTTTTTCCTAAAAATTTAACATACTTGGATCAGCACATTTAAAAACTGTATTTTGTCCATCTGGACATTGACAATAATATGGTAATTGTACTTGATTTGTTTGAATACATTTACCAAGTGGACCACATGGAGATGATTGACATGGATCTAATATTTCAAATAAATGTTTATACCTTGACTAAAAATCTCTTTTCACAAGCACAAGTTTAGACCTACTCTTAAGTTCTGTACATAAGGTACCATTCCATTCAGATAAACAATGACAAAGAAAACCATTTTCTAAGTCAATACAAGTACCATTGTGTGCGCATGGATACGATGCACATTCATCTAATTCTAATGATACAAACAAGCTAAATGTTTTTTATTTGTCCTGTTGTTTTTAGCGAGAAACTACCTTGATCACATGTCGGTCCGACAAAACCCGGATCACATTGACAAATAAATGAACTAGAAGTATTCGGAATACATGTACCATGCTTATTGCATACATCTGGCGTGCATACTATATAAGAATATATATGTAGAACATATTTTAAATAGAATTAACTACGTTCTATATTCATAGACAAATCTACTATACATACTTTGAGCATTTGTCATATTGTTCATAAGTGAAAAAATGATCAAAATTGTTAAAAACATTAATGATGATCTGAAGATGTTTTTCAATGCCATAGTTAAGAAAGATGAAATGTTCTGAAATGAAAATTAAAGTAAAATTGAAAGATGAAATGATATGGTAGGTCGTCTCGACGGTGCTGTCATTATTCTCTCGATTGTTTTCGTTGTTTAAATGACTTGAATGTCATTTGATCTTGAATAAAGACGAGACAAATATTCGTTTAATACAAAAACTCTCCAGCGTCTTGTAAACAAGAATAACATGGCTTCGTCGCAGACAGATATTGCATTGTATGTATATTCGTACAATTATTTTTACTAAATATCTATGATACTCACTGATACACTGTTCGTTGTGTGAAACTACTTTGTGTATATGAAATGAAGAAATGCACGATGAAATATCTTTCTTACACTCTATCTTTAAGTACAACTAATATTTATTATATTGAAAAAAGTAGAAACAAAAAAGTAAGACAGAAGAGAGAGAGAGGAAGAGAGAGAAATAGGTATGTGTCAGTAAACAACGACAATTGTCATTCCAATACAAATAACCTACTTTTTGTCCTATTTATTTGTACTATCATCTATGTAGTCGGCTGCTCTTACCTTGAATGCCGCTGTTCAATATATTAATGATATGCAAATGATCAGAGAAACGAAAAGAAAAGAAGAAAAGAAGAAAAGAAGAGAAGAAATCCGTTTATTGTTTCATTACTCATATATGCACATATATTGTGATCAGAAAGAAAGAAAGAGACAGAGAGACGATTCACCTTGTTTTCTGAGTCGGATTACGGATTGAACATTATCATCATCATCATCATCATCATCATCCTATCGTACATACAGACGAACACTTTTGATCTATAGTCTCATAAGAATTTCTATGCGAGATTAAAGTGACTGTATTTGTTAAACAACATCACAACAAAAACGGTGATGTGTGATTGTTTTTATGTTGAAAAAGAAAAAAAATACTGTAATTAAACATTGTCAAAAATTTTCAATAAGAAAATGAAAAAAAAATCAACCAGAGATATTTTATTCGTAATATAATCCGTTTTCGGGTATAAAAAAATAGTCTATATGTTATTGAATAATGTTTTGTTCTTATACTAATGAATAATATGTGACTGGGATGTTACTATTGAACAAAATATTTGTTCATTCTTTTTTGTAAACAATTTCTCTTTAAACATTCGAATATTATCGTTGTGTAAAATATAACATTTTGTACGTGTACAAATATTTAATCAAGAAATATCTGTTTTAGACTTTCACGCTCAATTGAAATCATTCTTAATCAAGAAAAAAAAGAAAGATGATGTTGGCAGAACAAATAAGAATAATATTTGATAAAAATATGTTATTTCTATGCATTATAGGTTAATTATGCAATATAATTAGTTCAGTTTGATAATGTATTATGAATATTTAAACTCATCATTTATTGATCAGTTAGTATTCATTATTTTAAAAATTTATTGACATATCCTAATTTATATATAATCCAAAATTTTGATGTATGGTCAGGAAATCATTAATTCTACAAACGAATTTATCTGAATTTAATGAATATACTTATGTGTCCGATAAGAACAGTAAAAACTAGTAAAAATTGAATTTTTTTTTCAGATTGATGCCAAGCTTAAGGTCATACGCATTACAATCTATTATTAAAATGAATACACATCTCCTTTTACATTTATCTATGTCACTATTCAAATATTGATTTCATTAGTACATATTCCAGATTTATTATCAGGCGTTGAGCATTAATTCAAACAAAAAAAAACTTGACATGCCATTGATTGAAATTTGATCGAAAGATAAACTTCAAATAATATTATTTTAAATTTAACAAATAATTAAAATAATAAATTGTATATCCTAATATGATATGTGCAAAGTATGTAATTTGTACATTTTTATGATATTCAATATTTGCATGTAGATTTTACATTTGACATTCATGGTTTATACATGATCATCATGGATTATTTATAATGAGAGAAAAAGATTTGATTGATTATGTAATTATATATTTTGACAGAGAGAATACAAATGTTTAACTTCTAAAGTATTTAGGATGATAATTATTCAAAACTTTCCTTTTTTCTACAATAAAAACAATTAACAATTTATTGTTTTCTTTGACACTATTCTGTTATACATAAAGTTCAGTAAAGTATATATGAAAAAGTTGCATAATAAAAAGTAACATGCTCCATCAGAAAAATATCATTGTACTATAGGTATACTTTCATCATAGGAACCATATTTAGATGGATTTTTTGTAACAAAAAAAATCAGATTGTTAATTGTTTACTATAAAATGTTGGTTGCCAGATTTAATTGCTAAAATAGAGATTATAATTAATTTTATCACATCTAACTTTCATTGATAATTATTCTTCTCTTCTTTTTCTTTGATACAACTCACTGAACACATCTTACAAAGTTATAATTGTGAATATATGAAATGTTGTACAAAACTATTGCAGATGATTTTTATAACATATTCATAAACATTGAACATAAATTAACAACTAAAGTTTACTTGTAGGTTTTATATAAAAACAGAATTAAGAGTCGTACGTTATCATCACTTCCTAGACAACTTCACTAAATACGAGAATAATGAAGGATCAACCTTTTTCTCGTAACTAAGTTTCTGATCAGATCAAACAACTGAAGAAAACTTTCATTTAATAATAATAATAATTCATATTTTGCATTCAACTTCGTTGCTATTAATTAGACTTGAAAAGTAAAAAAGCCCAATTTCCAAATCTTTCTTCTTCTTATTATTATTATATACGACTGCTTCTTTTACAGTTCACGTTTTAAACCAATGTCTTATTTCATAGATCATTATGTTAGTATTAATAATCATCGCATGACAGATACATATATTCTTGGGTAACGGCTTAGTTCTTCTTTTCTTTTTCTCACTATTATTTCCAAAGACTTTCATTCTAAATACATTAAAGTGGAAAAAAGAGTCATTACTTTCTTTTCTTCACACTTTGTGCAATTTAGAAAAAGTTCAATGAGATATGACAATTAGCAGCCTAGCAACTATGTTCAACATTTGTTGATAAAACAATTGAGTAGCTTCACATTTGCATGTATAATTCTATGTCATCAACGTGTTAATGTGATTGTCAAAAAGAAGAATTTTACAAATCCATGAAAAATCATCAATAATACATTCGACTTAACATATATATTTAATATAAAATTTCTTCATAGAATAACTTCATTGAATAATTTGTTCGATTAAGATGATGATTAGAATAAAGTTTTACTGATAAGAAAAAAAAAATTTAAAATTTAGTTACAAAAATTTTTGTTGATTTAGTATATCATAGCTTAACTTATTTGCATGGAAGATGATGTATTCTCCTTTTGGGGTCAATATTTGTTGACATGAAAAGAAAAGAAGTAGATATGTGTCAGTAAACAATGACAATAGTCATTCGCATACAAATAGTTTATTTTCTGTTGTATTGGTCTCTACAATCAATATAATCACATCTTTATCCTTGGTTTTCATTGTTCAATTGATTAATGAAATGCAAATGACGAGACAAAAATAGAAAAAAAAAAGATTATCAATATTGTGGTTTATCCTTTTCGAAAGTCTTCAGAAATGATATTTCATAAGTTTTGATCCGCTTCAAGTAATATTTTTTTCTTACACATGTTCTTTCAATAGAATAGGCTGATACTTACAGCATATAATAGGTAATTAGAAAGCTATGCGTTAGGACCAAAATTTTATGTTCTTTTCGAATATAGACTTAGAAATTTTATTTCAGTTTTTTCCTTCTAGAAAAGTTAAATCGTTTTTTAAAAGTGGAAAAAATTAATTTCGACGAAACTTGTACACTGACGTTTCTAGTGAACACAAACCTACTTAAAAGCATTTCAGACGCGCAAGACTATAGGTCGGAAGCAGATTTTGAATATGAGATTAGAAATGTTGTGTTTATTGTTGCCGGGCTTTTTGAAAGACCTGAAAAAATTATTTTTAATGGTGAGCCAACAGATTTTTTTTTATAAGTCCTGTTTCGAACATTCTGAAAATTGTCCAAATCAATCATTTTGTAGAGCAGGCACTTAACTACAAAATGTAATTTTGAAACAAGGTATAACTTTTACTCAATCATTTTTTAACGAGTTTCTTTTAACGTAAAACGGTTATCGATTTTTGAAAATAAGTATTTAGAAAAAAGCGAAAATTGAGATACTATGTCACACGAAAAAAAAAAGAATTTCAAATAGTTCATTTTGTAGAGTAACTTCTGGTCTATAGACTTATATATAAATAAAGATCCCAACTTTTAGTTTCGAATCGCAATAGTGAAAAAAAAACAGACAAATGGTAGAATGCACAAAAAACTATAAATTACTGGTTATGAAAGACTGATTGAATAATTGCAATTTTTTCATCCGTGTTGTTGGTAAAAAAAGTTCAATAACTGTCCTATAAATTTTATATTATGTGTATGTCTGTGACTATAAGAGATAGAAAGTATAGAGTAGATATAAATGTCTAGTACAGTAGTTGCAAAAAGTTCTGCTATCAGAAAAAGTATCTATAGTTGAATTCTTCAGTCTTAATTTGTCACCACAAATAGGCACGTGTTGAACTCTGATTGCAAGATATAATCAGAGCTTGATCAATTTTCATGCGAAGAAGCTAGAAGGTCAGCATAAACTTTTTCTTCAGAAGAGTATAGCTCAACATAGGCAATAAATCTTATGACGTTAGACTCCTCATTCAATACCTTAGTGCTGAGAGTAAAAAAAAGGCTTTTTTTGGGTCTTAGAAAAAAAAACCACTGTTTTCATTGTATATCATTTGTATCAAGGTCTGTCGATTTCGGATTGCTGCTTGTGATCAGAGTTTACTGAATTCTATTTATATTCAAAGTATGAGGCAAGAAGATGAAGAATTATATACTTTTTACCCTGTAGCGAAGCTTCTTGTCACTATCGCATATGTGTTATAAATGCCACTCTATTCTACTAAGAAAATAGATAAGAAAAAAATACTACTTGGAAGGAAACACATCTTATTAGACAATCTTTATCAGCCGATTTATGCGATAAAATTCATTAGTTCATTTAGGAATATGAGATTCTTTTATTAATTTTTAATTTAAATATTTATATACATAAAGATAAATATTCAATCGGTTTTTCTTTATCCAATAATTGGTTCAGTGGTTACTCGATCATTTTCATCAACATAAACACGAACACGTTCATCATCAATATCACGTGTAGTTCTTGATCCTGGCCCACAAACATGAACTTTTGATAAACCTAAATCAATGTGATCGAATTGATAAGAAATTTCTTTGGTTTTTTATTAAATTTTTTTACCAGATTCTTCTTTAATTACTTGTACAGCTTCATCAGCTATTTTACCTACTAATTCTGGCCAACATGTTTTTGTTGTAGATGTTGTCATTTGATCAAAACAAATTAGTACAAGAAAGAAACGAATAAGTTGTAAACGATTATAAAATAACATTCATGACTTTATCTAAAAAATGAATAAAATATAAATCTAATATTATTATCATTATGTATAATATATCATGAGAAAAAAGTTTTTCATGTTGATAATAATCATAATAATAATTAATGTGCTCTGATGAAACACAAGAAAATTTTTCTTGATTAAATTAAGTTGAAAGAATAAGATGAATGTAAATATCTACAATAGTTACAGTTGATAAACCATTGTCAAAATTAAAATCTTCTTGTACGTTTTAAAGAATTTTTCAGAAGACAAAAGAAAAACAAGACAAAGAAAATGACGTACACAACTAACTCAAATATAGTCAAACTAGTAATATTAAGGAATAAATATTTAAAATTTTTTTTCTGTATCCAATGATGTTGGATTAATATTACCACGTGTTGTATATAGATGTTGATCAGCTGATGTACCTTGTTCATAATCACCTTTAATTGTAACACGTGGTTCATTTTCAGTTTTTGTTGTATGTAAAATACGATCTTTATTGTCGATAACTTTTGATAATGAACTTGAATTTGTTTCTACAAAAATAAAGATCATTTATATATATATATATAATTATATTTAATATTACTATCAAAAAAATTTTTTGATTCATTTTTAATTCTAAGATAAACTTGATCAAGTAAATTCGCTGATTGTTTTGGATAACAAGCACTAAGTGCAATAGCTACAGCAACAGATGAATAAAATGTCTTACGTATAGGACCACCTTTGTGACCAAGAAGAAGACCACCAAGACCAGCAATTGTAACAACACCAACTTTTGGTAATAATGTTTGATCATCACGAATATAATCAATCGTAGCTANACAAAAATAAAGATCAATTTATATATATATATAATTATATTTAATATTACTATCAAAAAAAATTTTTGATTCATTTTTAATTCTAAGATAAACTTGATCAAGTAAATTCGCTGATTGTTTTGGATAACAAGCACTAAGTGCAACAGCTACAGCAATAGATGAATAAAATGTCTTTCGTATAGGACCACCTTTGTGACCAAGAAGAAGACCACCAAGACCAGCAATTGTAACAACACCAACTTTTGGTAATAATGTTTGATCATCACGAATATAATCAATCGTAGCTATAAATATTTTAAATCAAAATACGTATATTTCTGAATATTAAATTTTTTTTTAGTTAATTTTTATATAATAAATTGCATGATGAGTCATCAGAATCAACACACGGACGTATACTATATATTCCTACTGTGACACTTAAACTAAAGAAAAAATTGCGAGACATCGCTAATGAGACATTTGCTAGACTTATAAATAAATGAAAAAATTCTTCATAAAATATTCTATTTTGTTGACAATATCTCAAAATTTTGAACGAAAGCGTCAGGTAAAAAGTTAGAAAACAAAAAATGGAAAAATACAAAATTTTACGTTTACTTTTTGGATGACCTTGGCGAAAACATTTCACACTTCGATTTACCATTCACGTAATCTTCTAGAAAATAAAATTCTACATCTTTCGGTGCAAAAAATAGAGAGTTTGCAATTGAACTTTAACTTGAAAATCACCAAGTAGAATACTTTTAATTTTTCAGAAAAGCTTGGATATTCGAAAGTACGTCCGTTAGATAGAAGGGAAAATTCTCTATCTCGTGATATAAAATTTTTGGTTTCAGAGATTTATTTTCATAATACGATCTGCTTTTGAAAATACGAGCAACAATGCGTTGCAGTTGACATATACAGTGCACAACAGTATGCTAGTTGCTGTGCAAATAGAAAATTTTCTTGTTATAACTGAAGTACAGGTTTTTGCAGAGCTTGAAATTCTGTATCTTTCGGTTTATGAATGAAAATTTTTATAAATACTACGTAAGAGAAAAATTGCATTTACATTTAGTATAATTCATTATGATCCACTCGCGAGAAATACAATATCTTCATGTAACTGAATGGGAGATTCAAAAACCAATTCTATATGGTATGAATCCTTATTGTAGATCGTGAGATGATAGTAAAACAAAAAGTTTCGCCCTGTAACTTGAGCATACTTCTAGAAAATTTCACCTTAGGTATAGTTTGTGACATTGAGTCTATTCTAAAAATTTGTGGTCTTATTCATCATAAGATTAGAGACCTATTAGCTAATTACACTTTAATTAACACACTAATTAAGTTTAATTAGGTGTGAGTTGAAAAGTCAATATTATATTTAAGGTCAAAGTACTTGTTCAAGAAAAAAAAGGAATAAATCTTATAAACGATCAAAGTCAAATCGAAGATGAACATATGCCGGTTTTCTCTATATAATTTTATAATAAAAAATCAATTACCTTTAGTATGAGCTTCACCTGTTTCTAATCCACGAGTAATTCTTAAACGTAAATCCTAATATATAGTTTTTATTTAAAAAAAAAACATAAAAATTTTTTATAAGAATATACAAAAATTAAACCTTATTATCGTTCCAGATTTGTTGTAATGATTGTCTTGTTTGACTAATAGATGTATAAATCCAGTTATTATTGTTTGTTGGTTTTTTTTTATCATCATCTATTCGTGGAACATATCGATAAATATCATCATTTTTTGAATCATAATAGATTGATAACTAATATGAAAAAAAAAGACAACAAGTGTTCTAGTTAGGAATTAAAGAAACTTACATCACGAACGCGTACAATACGAGAATTTTGTGTTGGTCCAATATTATTGTCTGGTGGATTTGGCATCGTTTTATTAGAATAAATGATAATCTAAAATATGAAAACCTTGTTTTCAAAATCAATCATAATGTTAGTCCAAAGAAAATTAGCAATCATTGTTAGTTAAATAACTGACCTATGATAAGCTATGGTATAAAACGACATCTATAGAGTTCGAATTTCAATTAAATTATATCGTTTAGATTTTAAATCTATGTGAAACATTTGGTATACATTTCGAACGAATCAAATTATGAACAGAACTTCACATTTCCACAGTATAGTTGGCTAGTTTTACAATGTCCATCATGAATATTTGACACTTTTGCATTGCTAGAAATTTTTAATTGAATCTTATTTTATTTAAATTTCATTTAAAACAATATCTACATGATAATATGACTGTTTTCAAAAAGTATTTACAGCACTTTCTCAATTATTTAGTTTTTTTTAAGTTTAAAAAAGCTGTTAGAACAATTCCTGCAGGATTAAAACGTGAAACACGACGTATCTGTTGTTGCTAATCAGGCGAAAATCGCTTTATTTGATCTATCTGGAGATCAGTTTTTTCCTTATCTTTTATTTTATCCTCTAGGATTACAGTAAGGAAGCAGTTCATATACTCTAATAAGATATAAGTGATATGTAATTGATAATCGTGTATCAAAAGCGTCGATCATTGTCTATGGGAGGGTGCAAATTTCTATCCTATATACTTCAACATTTCTTTTAGATTGTGTTTCATAAAATATTCGATCATGAAGAATGATTAATTGAATAAAACATATTTTGAGAACGAAAACTTTTCCCAGAAAATGTTAACATTTATTTTCAAGACTGCAATCTCCCCCACTCCTTGACTTTTAATATTTATCCACGCTCACTTCAGTGTTGAATTACTCCTTTCTATACTTCACAATTTATTTTCTTTAATCTTACTGTAAAACCATTCATACAAAGTTGAAAAAAAAGAAAAGAAAAGAAAAAAGATCACAGTACAGACACTTGATTATGAATCGATCTGAAACAAAAAAGTTTTTTTGGTGGTAAATAGTCTTCATATGGCCATCGATTCGATTCTTTTGGCGATTCAATTCTTTCAATAAATTCTATTTGATGAAATATATAATTTCTTGTTTTAAGTTCAATATGAAGTCCATTAATATCAGTTAATATTATTTGAAGACAATTACCAATACCATCACGAACAATAAATATATAACTAATAAATATTCAATTAATTTTAAAAAAATCCCAAATTCGAGCAAAAGAGAAATACCGATTATTAATCTTATCAGGATCATAGATGATTATTGTTCCACGAAGATCAAACTTTCGTTTAGACATTAAAGCTAATGTAAATGAATCATAAATTGTTTCAACGGAATGAGTTTGTTGATGGTGTTTAGCATCATTAGGAAATGTAGAGAGAAGATCAAATGTTGGTGCTAAAAAGACATATTATCAATAGACTACCGGATTTCGTGACCTATCTTGAACCAAGATATCATATATTTGCGGTTTTGTAGAGCAATTTGTGGCGCATCAAATAGTATATAAGAAATCAACTTTTTCTCAAATTTTAATATTCTGAGATTCCATAGACTGGTTAAAATCCTTTAGAACATATATATGATATTCATACACGTTGTAGATCTCAAGATGTTATGAAATAAACTTATGCAAATTTTATTTTTACACTTAGTTCGATACAGTTATAGGTGCTCTTCCATTTTCTATGATCAATGGTTTTTATCCTTACTTTCTTCATACTTAGAAATGGTCTCTTATCTTAGATTTAGGTTATTTCGTAACTACATGATATTCCAGTGTGCTCAATTCTGTGCCATAAAGCAAGTGAGTACTGAAGTAAAACTTTCTTCAAAATTGCATACTATTAAGCTCAATATATTTCATGCGTAACATCTCTCAGGACAACAAGAACTCCCTGTCAACTTGCAAGATTGTCTCTTACAATATTTTCTTTTCCTCTACGAAGAGGACAGTATATTGACGATCTTTTAACAATACTCAACGGTCCTATTAAAAAATGTTATGTACTAAAAATCAGTACAGTATCCCTGATAAATTGATATAAATAATTCCTTCATAAATAGAAAACGTTTTTGGCCTTCAGACCCATACAGAGAAGTACAGATATAGGATTGTAGGAAGAAATTCTTCTATTTCTATTATTTCTTTTTTGAAATTTTTATTCTGAGAATTCAGATTTGATTTTTGTATGAAACTCTACAAGAATCTACAAATATCCCATGGTCACTTAAAATTTTTTTCCTTATCCTTGTATCTTCCTTCGTGGATCTGGTGACGAAAAATGTTTTTCTCATTTATGAAAGAGTATCTAATATCAGTTCATGAAGGATGCCGTGCTGCTTATTGATACATACAAATTTTAAATCGGACCGTTGAGTATTGTGAAAATATCGTCAATATATCACCCTCATCATATAGGAAAAGCGAATATTCTAAAGAATTATCTTACAAGTTGACAATGAATCTCTGCTGTTCTGAAATGTGTTATGCGTGAAACATATAGAGCTCAAATAGTATGCAATTTTGGAGAGAGTTTTACTTTGGTACTCGCTTGCTTTATGGTACAGAGTTGAGCACACTGAAATGTTATGTAGGTAAGAAATAATCTAAATCTAAGGAAAGGGGTCAATTTTAAATATTGAAAAGGCAAGGATGAAGACTATTGATTATAGAAAATTGAAGAGCATCTATAACTGTATCGAATTAAATTTAAAAATAAAATGTGCATAAGTTTATCTTAGAACATGCCAAGGGCCACACTGTCTATGAGTACCATATAATATCCGCCAAGTATTAAAATCAGTGTATCGACTTTTAGCACATGAAAATTTTCATAAATCTTCATTTCTGGTATAATATTCGATGCGCCGCTATTCGCTCTATAAAACTACACATATAATATCTTGGTAGATGATAGGTCACGAAATTCGATACGGTATTCTTATTTGATTGAAAGATATCTGTTTACCTAAATTTTGATCAATCTGATCAACCGAAGTACATTTATTACATGAACAATTAAAATCATATGTATGAATTGTTTCTATTGGTGCATCTACTTCATTATTATTAATTGATTCTTTTCTTACATCAGTTACACCTAATATAACTGAACCTAAGTCTGGTAAGTTCATATTTAATCTATTTGAAAAAATACATATAAAAAAAGACAAAAAAGAATATCTACCGTGATTCTCCTGCAATACGAATTTCATCATTAATTGCTAAATTTTTTGATTGTTCATCGTTTGGATCAAGAAAAAGTACGAGATCTTCTCGATCAGTTACATATTGACAATAGCAAAGTAGTTGATTACATACTGATTCTAATTTAACCACTCTTAATAATGGACTTTTAGCTGAAATGAAAATAAATTAAAATGAATTTTTATTCGAACGTATATTAATATACTTACTATCGACTACTTGTCGTTTTGTTAATGTTGGTTTTAAACTTTCCAATTGTTGTTCCATATCAATACTTAAAAAAAGAAAATTAGAAAAAAAAAACAAAAAGAAAAGAATTTACATTAGTTCAGATGTTTTTCGACTTTTTGATTTCTTTCCATTGCTATCAATTAAGCCATATTTTAATGCAAAATCAGATATTGGTTTATTAGCTTCTTGTTTTTCGTGTCGTTTAGCAATCATTTCTTGTATAAATTTATGATTTTTAAAATCCATAACTGGTTTATTATTTGTTGTTTTCATAACACGAATAATATGATCACGACCTTTTAATTCCGTCGTTGTTTTATTCGTATCATTCATAAAATGATTTAAACTAATATCACTCATTTGTCTTTGAAGAAATGAACGTTCACTGTCTCTTTTTTTTATTTTTGGAATGTATGGAATAGGTTGAAGAATTCGTTCGAGTGTAGATTCATTCGAATTTATTTCATCAATCAATGACATAGAAACATCAAATTGAGCATGAATATGTTCACCAATATGTGTATTTGGTTCATTAGGTTCATCATCATTAATATCGACTTGACTATCAATATATTCCATAGTACGAGCTCGTTTTCGGCCATCTAAACAAAAACACACATCCAAATATAGAAAACTTTATCAAGTTTATTATATACTTGCCAATCGATTTTCGAACATTGGCCATAGTTAGAATCGAAGGATTAGTTTTGATTAATTGAAATTTTGAATTTTACCGAAGAGAATACATAATCGTTTTGTTCGTTCGCCGCTAAAATGAATCCAATACACAAAAACTTTCGACAGATGTCCGTTGTTTTCAGCTAAAGTTTAAATAAGTTTAACCCTTTGTTTCATGATACATTAATCCAGTAGTTTATGTTGAGTAAACTACGAAAATAGCTTATGTAGACGCTAATTATGACAAATATATGATTAAATTTAGGCAAATTCATTTCACTGCAGAGACGACGAATGAATCAAAAAATGAGTCATTTCGGCAGATAATATATTATAAGACACTTGCGCAGACTCCTTTTTTTCGAATTATAATCAGACCTCTAATTTTTCGGATCGTACTGGAACTGTCAGCCTTCATTTTCTTTTTATAATATGAAATTGTTAGTTCTGATTTCCATTCGAAATTACTTATTCCTATTGTTAAAGACTCGTCCAAACGGACAACTATAGCAGAGAAGCCGCAAATTTCTATCGTCTGTCGATAAAAACAGTTCTAAAAACGGCTGTGGAACGCTTTATGACTGTCTATTAGCTTTAATAAATATTTAAGCATGAAGATCGTGTTATTTAGGAGTCAATATAGAAACAAAAATAACTATAGAAAAACCATTTTTCATGTCATTCACCATAAAAGGGTAAAACATGATCCAAGCTGTCATAAAAAATACTGCTTCACACATGTAATCAGGCGATTTCTAAAACCTACCACGTAGACAGAGGGTTTGGGTATTGGGACAGCGAAGGGCTACATTTCCACTCATACTCTCAAGTTTTAGTCAAAAAGTGAGGAAGGATGT